CTGGTGGCCCCGGCCGTGGCTTCGGTGGCGGGCGGCAGCGGCGGCTTCAGCACCAGCCTGCAACAAGCGAGGCCGCCCGTCTACGCCAACCTCAGCAACTTTCAACCCGGGCGCGGTGAGCGGCGGCCGCCGGCGGGGCGCCCTCCTACGGCGCGACTGGCCTTGCGTTTCGCCGCGCAGCCCCAGCAGCAGCAGCCGCCACCGCAACCGCCGCACCACCTGCCCAGCAGATCCCGGTGCAGCACCCGCGGCTGCAGGCCCTGAAGGAGGAGCCGCAGACGGTGCCCGAAATGCCCGGGGAAACACTTGCCCTCTCCCCCATCGACATGGAGTTCCAGGAGCGGATCAAGGCGGAGAGGAAGCGCATGAGGAACCGCATCGCTGCCTCCAAGTGCCGGAAAAGGAAGCTGGAGAGAATCGCCCGGCTGGAGGAAAAAGTGAAAACCTTGAAAGCGCAGAACTCGGAGCTGGCGTCTACAGCCAACATGCTCAGGGAACAGGTGGCACAGCTTAAACAGAAAGTCATGAACCACGTTAATAGTGGGTGCCAACTCATGCTAACGCAGCAGTTGCAAACGTTTTGAGGAGAGACTGTCGGGGGCTGAGGGACAACGGAGAAAAAAAAAAATAACAGACACAGACTTGAGAACTTGACAAGTTGCGAGAAAGAGAGAGAGAGAGAGAAAAGAAGTGTCCGAGGACTAAAGCCAAGGGTATCCAAGTTGGACTGGGTTGCGTCCTGACGGCGCCCCCAGTGTGCACGAGTGGGAAGGACTTGGCGCGCCCTCCCTTGGCGTGGAGCCAGGGAGCGGCCGCCTGCGGGCTGCCCCGCTTTGCGGACTGGCTGTCCCAGCGCAAACAGAACCTTAGACTTTTCTTTAACATTGACCAAGAACTGCATGGACCTAACATTCGATCTCATTCAGTATTAAAAGGGGGAGGGGGAGGGGTTGCAAGCTGCAATAGAGACTGTAGATTGCTTCTGTAGTGCTCCTTAAGAATACAAAGCGGGAGGGGTCGAGGGGGGGAGGCGGGAGGGAGGTTTGTGAGAATGAGGCTGAGCCTACAGATGAACTCTTTCTGGCCTGCCTTCCTTAACTGTGTATGTACATATATATATTTTTTAATTTGATGAAAGCTGATTACTGTTAATAAACAGCTTCATGTCTTTGTAAGTTATTTCATGTTTGTTTGTTTGGGCGTCCTGCCCAGTGTTGTTTGTAAATAAGAGATTTGGAGCACTCTGAGTTTACCATTTGTAATAAAGTATATAATTTTTTTTATGTTTTGTTTCTGAAAATTCCAGAAAGGATATTTAAGAAAATAAAATATTGAAAAAGTACCCCTCCCCCAACCTCTTTTCTGAATTATCTATAGATTACCTATCTAGGTGGAGTTGAAAGAGTTAAGAGTGTCCATTAAAATCACTCTCAGTGCTTCTTACTAACAAGCAGTAAAAACTATTCTCTACTGGGCTTGAGAAATAACTGTGGCTGATGCTCTCACCAAGTTATGCTCTTCCCTCCCCCACTGTCTAGGTAGAGTTGCTTACAAAGGATAGTGTGGCTTTTAAGGGGGCTGAGGGAGGGGAGGTTGTGGTGAAGAGGGACAGCCCACTGGGAAGTCAAACACTTTAAAGTTTGGATTATCAAGTGGCATGTGCTGTGACCATTTATAATGTTAGTAGAAATTTAACAATAGATGCTTATTCTCAAAGCAGGAAAGCTGGCAGGTTTTTACAAAAGATGTATCCTTCCAATTTGGAATCTTCACTTTAAGAATTCCTAGATTAAAAAGATGGTCGTTGCTTATGAATATTTATAACAGCATTCTTGTCACAATAAACGTATTCAAATACCAGTAACAGATCTTGAATTGCTTTCCCTTTACTACTTTTTTTCTTCCCAAGCCCTATATTGAAGCTTTTCTTTTCAGTTGCAGGGGTTAACATTACTACCATCTGAAGAACTTAGTAAGAGTCAACACAGAATTGCAATATGGATGAAACAGTTACATTAATTCTTTCTCTCATAAACATCTATGCCTAGACAAATTATCAGTATAGCAGTTGACCATTTTGGATTCTCCTATAGTTTACTTCGTAGTTTATTTCTAAAATAATCAACCTGTTTAATTATTTTGGCATCAGTCTCAAAAGATGGTAATCTATATACTATGGAAAACATTTGCAAGAGAAAACACAAACAGCATCACAATGATTACATGTGTAAATCAAACCTTGACTCTGGGGAAATGGCAAACTTGAATTCTGTCTACAGGTATAACTTAGATCAACAAGGCAGCACTCAACAAGGGAATAATTTTTGCTTAGTTGTTTTTCATCCCAAGAGCCAGTGTCATTATCAAGCAGCAAAAGCAATTTGATATCCAGGAATATTTATTTCACAAACCACTAATTGAGGCAGGGCTGTTTGCTCATTAGCAGTGCTCTAGTACCCAACAGGTCTGGGAGTACTAATTTCCTGCCCATGGCTGTAAATCCACAGACACAAAGAGATTCTCCTTAGTATATCTAGAGGTGGAAGAGACTGCACAGGCTTGTTAGCTATCAGATCCACCCCATTCTTAATAACACTTTTTAACAAAGGGTTACTGGGAGCAGAGCAGGGTTTGCCAAACAGTGAATTTGCCGATGTCAGCAACCCGGAAGGTGAGTTGATTTTGACCATATGTAGAAATAGTCAGCAGAGGGACAATAAAGCACTTTGGGGTGGGGCCTTGTGGAAGCTAAACAAGAGCCAACTAGAAAAAATAAGCAGGCTGGAGAATTAATTACCTGCAAAGGTAGACTAAGCCCAGACAACAGTGCAGTACAGAAAAGCCACACCACTCTCCCGTTTGCTTTAGACTCCAGGGTTTAAAAAAAAAAAAAAAGCCTGAAACTCAGGCTTATCTCCACACTTGTTTATTTCAAATAACGTTCCAACTGTATATCCCTGAAATTCTAAAAAAAAAAAAAAAAAAAGGTTAGAAAAAATAGTTGTGGTGATCTATAAACTTTGGAGACAGAAAATCCGCTAATTACTTATAGACACTCAAAGTTAATTTTATTTTGGCATTCAATGTTATTGTTTGGATAACACTAATAGTTGGAGAAAACGAAGTTAGTACATAAAGCCATCGATCCTCTTTTAATTTGTTTTATATGCGAATATATGAATATTTCCACTAGAAAATTTTAACCCCTTGTGTCCATTGGAGCAGAGGGTTCATGAACGTAATGAAAATGCCTATAAACTTGTGTGTGTGTGTGTGTGTGTGTGTGTGTGTGTTTGAATGTGCACACATGCGCACACATGCTCTCACACACTCACCTCCTGGGGAGAGAGATCGTTAGCTTTTATTTGGTTCTCACAGAGTTCCATGACTCAAAAGAAGTTAATAATTCCCAAGCTACACATTCACTCTAAGAAGCATATCTTTGTGTGCATCTTATTCACCTCTCCATGCTTCTGCTTGTGCTCATTGCTCTGCCTGATATACTTTTCCTTCTGGTTCCACTGATGAATCCAACCCATTTTTCAAGGGTGGGCATAAGTGGCACCTTCTCTGTAAAGCCTTTTTTGCTAACTCCATCTTCAGGGGGAATGAATATTCCCCATAGAGCACCCATAACACTTTATCAAAACTTCTATGATAGCACATTATGAACCTCTGTATCTCCTGGCTAGAACCCTATCCTCCTCATCTGTGGACCCAGACTCCTAGTACACTGCCTAGCATATACAGGATGTAAATGTGTGATGACTGAATGAACAATGGGGCTTACATCCTCCTCCAAAATAATTCCAGGTCTTAATTTCTTCGGGAGAAATATACCTCCATTTGTTTCCAGGTACGCAATTCCAGATGGATTGAAGACCCCCAGAAAAGCCAAATCTGGGCAGTCACCAAGTTCCAAAGCCTAGTTCTCAGTGAGTGATCTTAATAGAGTTAAGCTCTCAGCACATTCGTTCTCCCAGTCACAGAGTCCCTTCACTCCCCACTAATGTAAGTGGGCACCTTCTTATATAAAAGGGGTCTGCCTGAAACATTGGGCTTGGAGGTAGAGATGGGAAAGAATAATAAGTGGTCATTTGGCAGGCACCAAAAAAATAGTTCCAGATGTGGCTTTGTTAAAAGCAACCACTTCATTGGTATTGCCGGAGAGGACTTTATGTCTATAAAGTTAATGTATTTCAGGGGTCCAGAAGTCAGTACCCAATATTTGCTTGATAGCGACAATGATTGTGATAATGTATCTATTGCCCAGGTTCTTTTATTGTTAGAGAATATGTGCATAGGATGAACCAAGGAAAAAGACGAAGCTTTTTAGTCCGCCCAGTCCCTTGCCTCCACCACCTACTTCTAAGTTGGTCATGTGAAATGTCATGGAAGAGGGAAGATGGTCTAGTGGGGAGGAGTGTGCAGATAAAGCAGAAGGAAGTGCCAGTGAGGGGAGGAGGAGCCAATTATCAGGAAAGACTTCATGGGAGAGGTAACATTTGGGCTGACCCAGTGGGACTCACCAGGCAGGAGAGGTAGGAGGAGGAACTTGTGTGCAAAGGCACGGGGGCATACAAAAACATGGTGTGTTTAGAGACTTGTGAGCTGCTTGTGGAGGCTGGGAATGAAGAGATGAGAGGGAAAATGAAGGGAGATGAAATGAGGAAGTTTAAGGGTTAAGACAAAATAAATGAATAAACAAAATTGAAACAGACTCAGACACAGAGAGCAGACTGGTGGTTGTCAGAGGGGAGGGGGGTTGAGGGACTTGGTGAAAGAGGTGAAGAGATTAAGAAATACAAATTGGTACTTACAAAACAGTCACGGGGATGTAAAGTACAGCATAGGGAATATAGTCAATAATATTACGATAAGTATGGATGGTGCCAAGTGGGTAATGGAAATATCAAGTGGAACACTTTGTAAAGTATATGATTATCTAACCTGAAACCAATACAAAATAATACTGTGGGAAAATAAAATCAACAGGTGTATTTAAAAAAATTAAGGGTCAGGTTGTTAAGAGTTTGGATGTTATCCTGTAAGTGATGGGGAAATGTAGGAGTAGAAGCAGAGCAGGAATATGACTCTCTCAACTTAAGAAAGAGTCATGCTCGCAACCGTTTGGATGATGGACTGGTGGGGAAAAGGCTAGGGGAGGTGTGTAATACCAAAGAGAGGTTTTTAGTTTAATTTAAAGTGCCTGTGGTATTTAAAGTAGTTCTAGAGTTGGGGAGAAATGGGAAGAAGATGGCTTGGTTCAAAGCTACATCATGCCACAGTTCTTCCTACACAACTTTCTGAGAAGTTAGGCCTCAGGAGGGATATCAGAAGTTCACTTTTCACCTAGGCTGCTTGTCCATATTTAAGTTTTCCTCTCTACTGTGTCAATCTGGCACATGAAGGAAGGAAAGTCATCTTACCAAACGGTCCAGAGCTCCCCTGCTCAGCGTCAGTATCATCAAATGCACAGATGTGAAAGGAAGAGGCTTGTGACTACCTAAACTACCTAAACTGGTTTGATGGTCACAGTACAGAGTTGGTCCTCACCACTGCAGGACCAAAACCTAATTTTATCTAATCACCTAAGATTGATTAAGTTCAGTGGGATGAACTGGCCCAAACTATACAAATTCTTTGATGTATAAACTAAGAGATGGTGGTTTTATTTATGTTGGGAGGATTGAATTATAACACTTTACATTCATATAACACTCATTTTATTGAGCAAGCAATACTGAATTCCTATCGTGCCAAGCACTAGAGATGCAGTGGAGAAATCCACAAGATGCCTCCCCTCATGGAGTTTATAATCTGCTAAGAGGCACCCTAAACAAGGAAACACACTAATAAATGTGTGATTCTACATTTTGACAAGTACAGTTGGCCTTTGAACAACACAGGTTTGAAGTGTGAGGATCCACTTATACACAGATTTTTTTCAATAAATACTGTAAATGTATGTTCTCTTCCTTATGCTTTTCTTAATAACATTTTCTTTTATCTAGCTTATTTCATTGTCAGAACAGTATATAATACATGGAACATAAAAAATATGTGTGAATCAACTGTTTATATTATCAGTGAGGCTTCCAGTCAACAGTAGGCTATGAGGACTAAAGTTTTGGGGAGTCAACAGTTATACATTATTTTTGACTGTGTGGGGGATCTGTATCCCTAACCCTCATGTTGTTCAAGGGTCAAGTGCACAATTAAGAAGACAAACTAGGCACTAAAAAAGAGAAAAACTACCTAAACTGGTTTGATGGCAAGAAAA